ATGCCCGGCTGATTTTTTGATTTATTGTAGAGATGAGGTCTCGCTGCCCAGGCGGGTCTCGAACCCGGGTTTTCAGGCAATCCACTCACCTCAGCCTCCCAAAGGCGTGGGATTACAGGCTGAGCCACCGAGCCCGGCTCTGAGTTAGATTTATGAGTGCTTTAGTTGGTGTTCAGAGTTTCCTTTCCTGGTATCTGTGGCCTGCCCTGAGGTCTGAGTGAGCAATTGTGTACAGTCGTCTAAATCTGATGCTTTTTGCCACTGACCTTCTGGCAACAATCGCTTTGAAACCCTTTTTATTTTCTCCTTGTAAAAATCATGATCCCCAAATAAGCAAAAATGTTTTGATTATAGTATGTTAAGTATGTATATGTTAACTTCATCCCTTTTGAACTTCCAGCCAAGGTAGCTTTAGTAAAATGTCGAGACTTGCACTGGGCTATGATGGCGCATCGGGACCAAAGAGACGTGAGCCTGAGTTCCCTCCGAATGTTAATCGTGACTGATGGCGCCAACCCCTGTGAGTATTTCTGCTGTGTGGCTCTGGGAATTCCCTGGCCTTTAGTGGTGAGGCTTTTTTCCCCTCTTTCTATAAGCTTTTTTTTTAATAACATTTGTATTGAGATATAATTCACATTCCATAAATCTCACCCATTTAAAGTGTATACTTCAATGTTTTGGTATATTCACAGAGTTATGAAACCATCACCACAGTCTATATTGAGAACATTTGTATTGTCCCAAGAAGAAACCACCCATGATCAGTCACTTCACTCCCCACCTCCCTACTTCCCCAGCTCTAGACAACCACTAACCTCTCTGTCTCTCTGGACTTATCTATTCTGAGCATTTCTTTTTTTTGAGTTAGAGTGTCACTCTGTCACCCAGGCTGGAGTGTGTGGCATGCTCGTAGCCACCCTAACCTCGACTTGCTGGGCTCAGGCGATCCTTCCGCCTCAGCCTTCCAAGTAGCTGGAACCACAGGTGCACGCCACCATGCCCTGCTAATTTTTTGATTTATTGTAGAGACGAGGTCTTGCCAAGTTGCCCAGGCTGGCCTTGAACCCCTGGGCTCAGGTAGTCCTCTTGCCCCTACCTCCCAAAATGCTAGGATTCATAGGTGTGAGTCACCACTTCCGGCTACTCTGAGCATTTCATATAAATGCAGCCACACAGTATGTAGTCTTTTGTGATGGCCTTCTTTCACTAAGTTAATGTTTTCAAGGTTCATCCATGTTGTAGCATCTGTCAATACTTCGTTCCCTTCTATTGCTCAATAATATTACAGTGTATATCGTAGATGTGCCACATTTTATTTATGCATTCATCTTTTGATGGATTTATAAGCTTTTAAACTATTCTTTCTTGCTCAGTTTTTTATATTCTCTTTCCATTCTGTAACTGTGGATATTCTTTAGATAACAGGAGCAATACAAAGGTGACTTGAGTTAGCCAAGTGTCTGGACTTTATGTAAATTCCCCCTAGCAGCATAATCAAAGGTGTTTGCAAATACTTAGAGATCATACTGTGTTGTCTACTTTTCCATGCAAGCACAAAATCCCAATCCTTTGTGCAGTAGAATTAGGTAAAGCATTAGATATCACGCTCTTTGTCATAAATGGATTTTTTTCAGTGGTCACATTGGTCATCCTGGTTTAAAGCATAGGCATGAGGCCACACATGGTGGCTCACATGTGTAATCCCAGCACTTTGAGGGGCTAAGGCAGGAGGATTGCTTGAGGCCAAGAGTTCAAGACCAGCCTGGGAAACATAGACCCCCCCCAGTTCTATTAGATAGATAGATAGATAGATAGATAGATAGATAGATAGATAGATAGATAGATATAGATGTATATATATATGTGTATATATATGTAAACTAAACCACACAGATACGGGGATCCCTTATAAGAAAATGTCAGAATAACACATAGAAGAAGGTGGAACTAAAGCCCTACTAGATCTTATATACTGGCTATATTAGTTCTTTTATTTGTTTATTTTTTTGAGTTGGAGTCTCACTCTGTTGCCCAGACTAGAGTTCAGTGGCACACTCCCGGCCACCGCAGCCTTAACCTGCTGGGCTCCTGCGATCCTTCCGCTTCAGCCTTCCAAGGAGCCATAACTACAGGCGCATGCTACCACGCCTGGCTAATTTTTTTTTATTTATTGTAAAGATGAGGTCTGACCAAGTTGCCCAGGCATATCTCAAACCCACGGGCTCAGGCAATCCACTCCTCACCTCAGCCTCCCAAAGCACAGGATTACAGGCTGAGCCACCGAGCCCGGCTTATATTAGCTCTTGAGGAAGAGTTGCTGAGTTACAAACAGGCTGCATATTGCCTACAGTGGTATCTCTGATTTTTTTCTTTTTGAGTTGGAGTCTCACTCTGTCGCCCAGACTGGAGTGCAGTGGCACATTCCCGGCCACCGCAGCCTCGACCTACTGTGCTCTGGCGATCCTTCTGCCTCAGCCTTCCAAGTAGCCAGAATTACAGGGGTGTGCTACCATACCTGGCTAATTTTTTTTGATTTATTGTAGGGACGAGGTCTCACCAAGTTGCCCGACTGGAGTCTCGAACCCACGGGCCCAGGCAATCCACTCACCTCAGCCTCCCAAAGTGCTGGGATTACAGGCTAAGCCACCGAGCCTGGCCCGGCTATCTCTGATAATGATTTGCCTTATTCCAAGTAGTAACTTAATATTCTGACAGTGGCCTTTTGTAGGCTAAATGATTAATTTCTCTTTGAAATGTATCAAACCTATCAACAGGATGCCTGAATGAAATGTAATTGTATACCTAACCCTTAACTGTACCCCACAAAACCTTAATAAAAAATATTTTAAAAAAAAGAAATGTATCAAACCACCTCATAGGCACAGTAAAATATTTATATGGAATTAACAACATATAATGTAAGTCCTCATGAGAAACAAATACTGGGAGGACCAAAAAAACCCAGAATTTATTGATTAAAAATTGTTTACTTATTCTTACATGTTAAAACTTCTGCCACCTTCAAAGTACTCCCCATTTGATACAATACCCTTATCGAGATGCTTTTTCCACTACTCAAAATAGTTTTTGAACTCGTCAGTCAGTCTTATAGTACTTCTGCCGTTTTTTGTTTTACCTCTTCCACATCAGCAAATTGTTTTCCTTTGAAGACTTTTTTCATCCTATGAAACATAAAGAAGTCACTCGGGGCAAGATTAGATGAATAGGGAGGATGGGGCACAGGGAACATGCTGATTTTGGTCAAAACTGCTGAACACTCAGCACAGTGTGGACAGGTGTATTCGTAAATCGCCCATCGTGAAATGGGCAAATGTGTTGAAAGAATCTCCAAAAAGAATTCACTAAAACCCAACGCAGCCTCTCACAACACTCGTGGTACACTGATGCTGATGGGTCCCTAGAACACTTACCTAGCGGGGAAAGCCTGTGCTACAAGGGGCTTGCCTCCAACAAAAATAATTCTGAGTTTTTTAGGTCCCCCTTTTCTGTGAACTTTCCTCTCTTTACCATTTTCCTGCAATGTTGAAAATCCCAATTTCAGCTTTAGGTTGATCTGTTCCAACTCCTTAGGGTCTGTGTCATCCTGTGATGCCTTCCTGAGTCTGTTCCAAAGCCATGGGCTGAAGCCTGAGGCCATCTGTCCATGTGCTACGTCCGCTGAAGCCATGACTGTAGCAATCCGCAGGTACTGTTCAGGATATCAGATGCTCTTGGTGTGTGTTACAATTTGGATGAAATATGCAGTATTTACCAGGTGGTGTCATAGGGGTATTAACTTATTTTCTGCTTCATAAGCCTAAAAGTGAAAGTTACTTTGTAGTTTCAAGCATTTCATTTATTTTTCTTACTCTTGCCCAAATGTATGCAGTAAATTGAAAATTTGCTTTGGTTAATCTCCCTTCATATTTGTGAATTAGTTCTTGGTGTGTGTGTGTGCAATCCTTCTACCTCAGCTTTCCAAGTAACTGGAACCACAGGCACACACCACCACACCCAGCTAATTTTTTTATTTATTGTAGAGACAAAGTCTTGCCAAATTCCTAGGCTGGTCTTAAACCCCTGGGCTCAGGCAATCCTTTGTCTCCACCTCCCAAAGTGCTGGGATTACAGGCGTAAGCCACCACTCCTGACGTTGTGAATTAGTTCTTTTTCTGTTTCATTTTGCTCTTCAGAATCCTTAGTGTCTTGGGTTAGAAACAGGCTAATTCTTGATTGTAGCTTAAGTATGGATAGAACATGTATCATACACCCAAGACCAGTATATTCTTAACAACTGATTACCCTGTATAGTACCCAGAGGAAATGTATTTTCCTATGTCTTATTTTTTGTCTTGGTATTATTTAATTTGCCAAACCTGAAGGGTTTATTTTCTTTTCAGGCCTGGAGTCCCAGGGGCCCCTCTGCCAGGAAGAGCCATTCTCTCAATGAATGGATTGAGCTATGGGGTAATACGGGTCAATACTGAAGATAAAAATTCCGCACTGACGGTCCAGGATGTGGGGCATGTCATGCCTGGTGGTGAGTTGGGAGGAACACCATTTGAGTTTTCATCAGGATTCGTTGTCAGAGATAGTATAGCCTGATAAAGTAGGCAATCCAAAGCCAGGAATCCTCAATTCAGTACTTAGTCTCACAAAGCCTCTGACAGTTAAGTAGTTATAATCATACTGACTGTCCAGCAGTGTTGTATGTTTTCTCGACTGTGGATGCTTCCGGTACACCTCACATGGAAGGCTAAGTACTGAGTGACACTAAAGTTACCTGGTTTTCACTATAATTGCCACACCATTGGGTCTGGCCAAAAATTAGAGCATACTGCTTCCAAGAATGTATTCGTTTGATCTGCCTAGGGGTACCAGCTAATTCATCTAACTTGTGTATTTGGATTTTGCAATTACTCTTAATATATCACTGTCTCTCCAACCTTTAAATTTCAAATCTACTAGCTGGTCATGGTGACTCACGCCTGTAACCCCAGCACTTGGGAGGCAGAGGTGAGAGGATTACCTGAGCCCACAGGTTCGAGACCAGACTGGGCATCTTAGCGAGACCTCATCTCTACAGTAAATCAAAAAATTAGCTGGGTGTGGTGGCATGTGCCTGTGATTCCAGCTACTTGGAAGGCTGAGGTGGAAGGAACGCCTAAGTCCAGAAGGTCGAGGCTGCGGTGGCTGTGAGCATGCCACTGCACTTCCAGCCTGGGCTACAGAATGAGAACTCCAACTCAAAAGTTTTTTTTAGCCAGGCTTGGTGGCTCAGGCTGTAATCTCGCACTTTGGGAGGCTAAGGTAAGTGGATTGCCTGAGCCCGCGGGTTCGAGACAACTTGGCGAGATCTCATCTCTACAATAAATCAAAAATCAGCCGGGCATGGTAGCGCGTGCCTGTATTTCCAGATACTTGGAAGGCTGAGGCGGATGGATCGCCGGAGCCCAGCAGGTCGAGGCTGCAGTGGGCGGGAGTGGCCACTGCACTCCAGTCTGTGCAACAGAGTGAGATTCCAACTCAAAAAAAAAAAAATTAAAGCTGGGCTCGGTGGCTCAGCCTGTAATGCCGCGCCTTTGGGAGGCTGAGGTGAGTGGATTGCCTGAGCCCGTGGGTTCGAGACCCGCCTGGGCAACTTGACGAGACCTCATCTCTACAATAAATAAAAAAATTAGCCAGGCGTGGTAGCACGTGCCTGTAGTTCCAGCTACTTGGAAGGCCGGAGCTCAGCAGGTCAAGGCTGCAGTGGCCGGGAGCGGCCACTGCACTCCTGTCTGGGTGACAGAGTGAGACTCCAACTCAAAAAAAAAAAATTATAAAAATAAATAAATAAAAAGATTTTTTTTCCCAAATAACAATGTAGCTTCAGATTTATTCCTGTTTGATATTTTTACTTAATACCAGCATTCCTGTTTGATATTTTTACTTAATACCACTCAGTAAATGCAAAACTCTCCCAGGTTCACAGGATGGAGCTATTATTCTACAAAAGTGTTACAAAATCTTTGTCCCTCACTTGCATTTTCTGTACATTAGGAATGATGTGCATTGTGAAACCAGACGGACCTCCCCAACTCTGCAAGACAGATGAAATTGGAGAAATCTGTGTTAGCTCCAGAACTGGAGGCATGATGTACTTTGGGCTTGCTGGTGTGACAAAAAATACATTTGAGGTACATGATATTAACTGTTCAGAGGGAAATCTTTGGTGAGGTCAGAATGTCACTCGGTCAGATCCCCCGGCTGACAGAACAGAACATAGTGTAACATAACGGTTGAAAGTGTGTACCCTGGAGCTAGACTGCCCTAGTTCAAATCTTAACTTCACTGCTCAGTAACTGACCTTGGGTGAGTTGCTTAACCTCTCTATGCCCAAGTTCCCTTATCTTTAAAATGTGAGTAATAATAATAGTACCTCCCTCATAGGATTGTTGTGAAGACTAAATCAATGAATGTTCATAAAGTTCTTAGAGAAGCACCTTACACATAGGAAGTGCTGTTGTGTATCTGTTAGATAAATAAAGAGTAAGAGACCTCACAAAGAGCTCAAAAGTAAATTTTGAGAGTACGGTGATGGTGGCTCCATCTCTTAAGAGTAAACTCAAGTTATGCCAAATTAAAAATTAAAAATAACTTATAATCCTAGTGCTTTGAGAGGCCTAGCTGGGAGGATTGCTTGAGGCCAGGAGTTTGAGGCCAGCCTGGGCAACACAGTAAGACCTCGTCTCTCTTTTTTTTTTTTTTTTTTTAAGAAAAAGGAAAAAAAGCTAGGTATGGTGACACATGCCTGTAGTGCTAGCTACTCAGAAGGCTGAGGTGGAAGAATCAGTTGGGCCCAGGAATTCAAGGCTGCAGTGAACTATGATCGTGCCACTGCACTCCAGTCTTAGTGACAGAGTAAGACCCTGTCTCCAAAGATAAGGAAAGAAAGCTAACAGTGGGATGTCTGTTTTTGTACTGGTTTGGCAAAGTTTGGCAAAATGGGTAACATAACACGTAGTGTTAGGATGTGGGAAAAACAGATATCTTAATATGGTATTAGTGGAATGTACATTGATATAGCAGTTTTGTAGGCTAGACAATTAAAACAGAAAAGACTCATGCCTTTTGTACAAATTTACAAAATATGTACAGCAGTATTCATTAAAGCATAATTTATAATAAACATCAGAATAACTTATCCAACCATAATGAAAGACAGGTTTTTATTCCAATAGCCACCTATCATTTCCTGAAACTGACTCTGGGCCAGGCACCATGCTTATGTCTGTAAATCTGTTTGCATTCCTTAATTTTTACTTTAACCCTGTGGACATTGAGAACTCCATTTTATGACTGAAAAATTGAGGCCCAGAAAAGTCCAGACACTTGCCTAAAGCTCATACTACTACTAATTGCCAGAGCCAGAAATTGAACCAACTTCAAGGGCTGTACTGTCCTATCCCCAATGAAGTGGCACATTACAGGGCCTTTTACACAGTGGGCTAGATTGACTCTTAGTGACTTGGAAGAATATCCAAGATATATTATGTGAAAAAGCAAGGTACAAAACAGTTATGCAATATGGTCCCTTTTTAAAGTACCCCTAATATGTTACTGTATGCATCTTTTAAAAAGTCCAGAGAAGCCGGGCTCGGTGGCTCAGCCTGTAATCCTGCGCCTTTGGGAGGCTGAGGTGAGTGGATTGCCTGAGCCCACGGGTTTGAGACCCACTTGGGCAACTTGACGAGTCCTCATCTCTACAATAAATCAAAAATTAGCTGGGCGTGGTAGCACGCACCTGTAGTTCCAGCTACTTGGAAGGCTGAGGTAGAAGGATCACCAGAGCCCAGCAGGTCAAGGCTGCGGTGGCCGGGAGCAGCCACTGCACTCCAGTCTGGGTGACAGAGTGAGACTCCAACTCAAAAAAAAAGTCCAAAATCAGCCGGGCGTGATAATGCGCGCCTGTAGTTCCAGCTACTCGGAAGGCTGAGGTGGAAGGATTGCCGGAGCCCAGCAGGTCGAGGCTGCAGTGGCCGGGAGCGGCCACTGCACTCCAGTCTGGGCAACAGAGTGAGACTCCAACTCAAAAAAAAAAAAAGTCCAGAGAGATAAACAAATTATGAATGTTTGTTTCACTTAAGGGGATGGAATGACTGAACTCTCTATTTATATATGTTGTAGTTTTTCAATAAGCATTACTCTTGAAATTTTTTTCAATAAGACTTTTTAAAAATTAAATATATTCTTAAAGAAAAAGCCAAGTTTTTGCTTTTGTCCTCTTGTCTTTTTTTAGGTGATTCCAGTGAATTCTGCAGGTTCTCCTGTTGGGGATGTGCCGTTCATCCGATCAGGATTGCTGGGATTTGTAGGACCAGTAAGTGATGCTTTTGTGTTCATTTTGGTACACCTAATCCAAATATTTGGACTTTGATTCACAAAACAGAACAAAATCTGATTAGTTCAAGAATGTTACAAGGCCATGTAACTTATTTTTAGAGTAGTTCCTGTGAAGATTTCATAAAATGAGTTAATGTTTATTGTTTTCAATACCCAAGTTCACTTCACTGCTTCAACCTAAGACATTGTTTTTTATTTCACTTATTCTCTGCATCTTTGATTTAATTAACATGTTGCAGTAAGTTAGAATAGTTATGGGAAAAGTTAGCTTCACTAGCAAAGAGTAGCCATAATACTTGGTGTATAAAGCTCTTTGATATAAATCATTGGCTCTATACCATGTGTTATAGTAAATTCTTTGAATGAAAACAATTTGTTATTCAGCACATGGTATTTATAGGCACTGGATTTACAGAGGCTGCCGGCCACAAAAAGCCTGTTCTCAAAAGAGTTCACAGTGAATTTGAGCCTACGAGGATAGCCAGAAGCCAGGTCATGAAGAGCTTTGCATGACATCATGGGAAGTGGGATTTTATTTTGTGAGTGGTCAGCAGTCATTATTCCTAGCTAAGCCCATATCCCGCCAGCCATCTCTCATTACCTCCTACCCGCTCTTCTCTGTTAACAGCTTAAGTCATATAAGAGAAGATTCTATTTTATTTCTCCCTCACCATTTATGAGGGGAGCCAGGACATAGGTCTAGGAAAATCGTTCTCCTTGAAACAGTAGTCTACACCTGCTGTCTTGACTTTCACTCAGCACAAGGAACTTTCAAAGACCTAGCCTCTTCTAGCTTATGGCTCCACTATTGAGGTCCAGGATGGAGTTCCAGCCTCACACCTGCATTCAAAGAAACAGAGGAAAAGGAGCAGGCTTCCTCTCGTCTAAGGAAGACTCCCTGAGGCTGCTGTGCAACTTCTGCTTATATCTTTGGTCTGAACTAGTCCCTTGGCCAGACCTAGCTACAAGGGAGGTTGAAATGCAGTGACTGTCTCATTCTGTTACGAACACAGACTTTTCAGGCTGTATTGGAAATGGCTGCTTCTTTCCTGTCATCTGGGACGGACCAGTAGCTTCTTGAGGATATAGGTTATGTTTTGCTTACATAGCTCAGTCAGTGGATGGCCCTACATTATGCTCATTAAGTCAGTGAGTGACATTCACATGGCAGTAACTACTAGATAATTGAATATGTGTGAATGGTCAAAAAAAATTTGGGAATGTTGTAATGAATGAAAAATTGTTAATTTACTGCAAATGGGTCTGGGAAGATTATTTATGCAGTGATGCTTTGGGGGCTTTGATAGTAGAGTCTCCTGCTGCTCTCTTATCTTACTGGGAAAGAAAAGCACAAATTTCTCATAGACCTTTTTTATTAGCTTATATCTAATCTCGCTTGATGGAAACAACATTACCCTTATAAATAAATCATTCTCATTAAAACAGTTTTAATCTCCTAATTCTAGCAGCAAATAAAATTACATTTTTTCCTCTGCATTCATCCTATGAGTAGGTACAGAAGGTGAACTAATACATAAACATTGAGAAAATAAACTATGTTTGTGTGGAATCCTAGTTGGTTTCTTATAAAAACTCCTCCCAAAAAGTAAATATGAACAAATTATCTTCTTATATAGTATAAGGCCCCATTGGCTGTTAGATGCCACTGACTTCCCTACTGATTTCAGAAATGTTAAGATGTGAACCATTTTCTCTAGAATGCATAAAATATGGCATTGTTTGGTTTCTGATTTTTTTGTGTGAGATTTATTTCAAGGCAGGAAGTAAAATATGTCTGTTTTACTAAGTTATAGCAATCAAGGTAAATCATCATTACCTTTCAGGGTAGTTTGGTGTTCGTGGTTGGGAAAATGGACGGCTTACTGATGGTTAGTGGTCGAAGACATAATGCTGATGACATTGTTGCTACTGGATTGGCTGTTGAGTCAATAAAGACTGTTTACAGAGGAAGGTGAGTAGCACAAACTTGAAATGTTAGCCCTTCTGTTGGAATCTATGTAGATCTTCACAGGGTGATTAGAGTTGTATCCTTTCAATTCTCTTTCCAAGTGATGAGATTGTGTTTGGTTAGGCATAGCAGAAGCCTGACTTTAAACATTTATCCTGCAGCGTCTGGTTCTTTGGCTGTGATTGAGAGGATTAAGACATAACTATATCTTGTGTTTCTGATTTTAATTACTACTATTTGTTGAATCTTTTAGGACTGAGAATTCTAAAACGCTGAACTTGATACACTTCTTCAGTGCAGAAGTAATGCCATTCAGACTAATTGAGATGCTGCTCTGTAGGCATTTGCATCTAAGAATTCTTTCTCTTACTCCATACCATTTTAATGTGAAGATGGACATAGCACAAGTGCTAATTTAAAAGTCCATGAGCAAAGTTGATTAGATATCTTTTTTCGTTGCTTATTAATGCAAAAAAAGAGATTTACTACATATTTGAGTAGTCAATGTCCAATTCACCAGTTTACAATCATGGATATCTCTCTTCAAAGCAACCTTGGTGTCCCTTTAGTTTTTTAAGTAAGAAAAATTAAGGAAATGAAAAAGAACCAGTTTCTGGAATGTGTGGTGTTTTGTAATGGTGTGGCTTCCTATGAGATATAACCTCCATGGGGCGCTAGGCCTGTCTCTAGTCACAGTCGTGTCCCAGCCCTGGGCACAGTGCCTGGCACCTGGTAGGTGTTCTGTGAATATGTGTGATGGGAAGGGAGGTGGGTGTCAGGCAGGCTTGCTGGCTGGCTCAGCTCCCTAGTGCCTTCCCATTCTTTCACACATTTTTTCAGTAAATGTTTATTGGGTGCCAACTCTGTGCCATTGTGCTAGGTGCTGCAGCTGCGGCACTGAGCAAGCAGGTCGAGTCTTTGCCCTCATGAAGCTTACATTCTCACTGTGGGACACAGACAGTAGCGACATAAACAGGGAAATAAGAACTGTGGGAAAAAACACATGGGACGGGGGTGGCTTGCTGATGCCCATGAGGTGGTCTGGGAATGCCTCGCTAGTAAGGGGACATTTGAGCGGAGACCTCCCTCAGAACCAATTCCATCCTCCCTCCCCGGCCTCCCAGGTCCTCCGCGCTCTGCCCTGGCCTGGGTCTGACCTCTCCCTCCTGCTCTCTGCTTCACCACTTTGCTCCAGGCACACTGGCCTTCTTGCTGTTCCTCAAACCTGCCAGGCTCGTCCCTACCTCAGAACCTTTTCGCTTTTCGTTCCTTCTGCCCGGAAACCTCTTCCTCCAGATCTTCGCGTGGCTCGCGTCCTCACTTCATTCAGGTCTCTGCTCCAATGTCCACTCCTCAGGGAGGCGCCCCCCCAGCCATCCCGCCTTAAGTAATCACCACCCCACACACACCCCACCCCCTTGTATATTGCAACATGATAGTAGTATATGTTGATTTGTTTGTTCCGTCTCTAACACGTAAGTGTCACAAAGACAGGAACTTTGTCTTATTTACCACTATGTCCCCAACATTCATGGCATTTGTGCTTATTAATACCTGTTGTTATTATTTGAATGACTGAACAACTCCTCATTTAGATGGTAACAATCATGACATTTTCTAAACGAGTCATTTCTGGGTGGTATGGTGGGGACGTCTCCTCTCTGTAATTCCAATTAAGCAAAGCTTTTAGGACTGGTTGTGAAGGAAGTCCTGATGTGTTTGATCTGTCTCTCTTAGAATTGCTGTGTTTTCTGTGTCTGTATTTTATGATGAGCGCATTGTGGTGGTTGCGGAACAAAGACCCGATGCTTCTGAGGAAGACAGCTTCCAGTGGATGAGCCGGGTGCTGCAGGTGAGCACGCCTCGGGGTCTGTGTCCAGTCAGAGGTGGCAGCAACTGCTACGTAAGCTTTTTCTGCGATGGGCCAGTAATGCCTCCTTATTTTTTTCTCACCAATCATTGCTCGAATATTCTGGGTACTGTTAGCAAAACCAGATAATGAGTACTGTTTCTTCTTGTGGACCACAGAGTATTTTTCTGCTCAGGTTGCCAAAAACAATGGAATTGACTTGCCTCAGCAGATTCTTTCATGCCTAAGTGTTTACTACTCAAGAAAGTTTTAGCTGTCCGTACATGGAACACATCTCTGACAGCAACAATCCACTTGTTGGTAGTTAGTTACAGTTTTACTACATGCCATACATAAGTGGTGCCTAGAGTGTGAGGGATCCACAAAAATGTAAGCCATTACCCTTACCCTGCCAGAGCTTTGCCGCGGGGTTAGAGGAGGTGCGTGGTGAAATAAACCGTGAGGAGAGAAGAATGACTTGCGCTCAGTGTGAGGGACATGCTGCTAGCAGGCAGCAGCTGACAGGATGCAGGGAGCCTCCTCTTCCTCCTCCTTGGGACTCAGACTTGGAGTTCAGTGCCATTCCCTACCATGTGTCCTCTTGGGCAAGTCACTTAACCTCACTGAGTTTATTTCCTAACCTATAAAGTGGGGATAAAATGATCTACTTTTCATAGCCATTGGAAGGATTAAATGAGATAATCAGATGACATGTATAGTACCTGCATTCAATAAATAATGCTGGAGATTATTATTCATGCCAGAAATAATAAGCCAGCTGTGGTGATATACCCCTCTGTTTCAGCGACTTGAGAGGCTGAGGTGGGAAGATCACTTAAGCCCAAGAGTTCAAAGCTGACTGCACTTGTGAATACCACTCCCAACCTGGACAACACAGCAAAACCCTGTTCCTTACATTTTTTTTTATAAAGATTGTAAGCATAATCTCCAATAAAGAGATTAGAGAAGTCCACTCTAATGTTCCCTTTCCCTCTGTCTCTTCACTTGTATTTTTCTACTTAGTGTTTATTACCATCTAAGTATTTTGTCTTTATTTTGTATTTATTAGTTGTTTTGTTTTTTGGTGTTTTTTTTTTGAGTCAGGGCCTCACTCTGTCACCCAGCCTGGAGTACAGTGGTACAATCACTGCTCACTGCAACCTCAGACTCCTAGGCTCAAGCCTTCCAAAGTGCTGGGATTACAGGCGTGAGCCACTGTGCCAGGCCTACTAATTGTTTTCTACAGCCCCATGAAGGTCAAGATTTCTTTGTCTCTTTTGTTCAGAGCTTAGTCCCCAGAACCTGATAGCTATGCTAGCACACGTCATAGCAGACTCAGTAAATATTTGTTAGCTAAGTAGATAGTCCAAAGAAGGCATGGACTGTCCTCGCCGTAACAACTTAGACATTACTGGACACGTTCCCAGTGTCTGTAACTTCTCTTCGTGGATCATTTTAATTTATTATGCCAGGGAGTGGTGATGTTGTAGAAACAGTGACTTAGATTTCTTTCTATCCTCAGGGTCTGTGAGTCTGAATTATCAGCTGGTATAGTATAGGCTATTGGTGGGCGAAAATCAGAGAAAAGAAAATCTACTGAACATAGACTATGCAGAAAACACCATGAAGAAGGTGGAACTGGGTTGGACTCTGAAAGATGGCCAAGGGGCAGACACGCAAAGGGGATACTTCTCATACCATTCATATTTTCAAACAAAAACCTACTTCTTCTGTTCAGAATGAACTTTGGGGCATAATGGTAGACTTTTGGGTGAATTACATATATTTTTTTCTACTATAGAAAAGCGAGTATTCCTGAAATTTCACAAGAAATTTCTTACTTTTCCCTGGAAAGCAACTATAGAAATTAAGTACAGTGCCAATTTACTAATCCAATTCTTGTGAAAGTCATTTGGGTTGATTTGGGCATGAAGTAAGATATAGACTGCAACTCCTCAGCTTGGGGCATTTAGGTCCATTGTGAAGCCGTGAAGATACCATATGTACTAGTAGGTGAGAGGCCAGAAGTAAAATCTGGGTCTGTGTATATTGTAAACTAAATACCTAACCCAGCACCTTCTAAGGAAAGGCAGTTAATAGATGACTTACTGGATGATGTGTTTTTGGTGCGAAACCTAGGTTACATGTGCAACATTTGCTAACTTTCTGTGTTTTCTTACAAAACCAGAAATTTAGGAACTCTGCCAGACTTTCTGTTTCCCAGTCATCTGTGTTGGTTAATATAGCAGTTTGAGGAATATGATTTTCAAGTGTATTCCTTTGCCCTTTTAAGTTGTTTTGATAAAAGACCTTGTCCACCTTTATGATTGCTCTTTACGACTGTCAGTCTGTTTTCATTCTGGGGTTACATCTCCTATTCAGTAAGACTTATGGGTGACACAATGGAACCTTGCTAACTGGTATTAATAGTTGGTCAGGGCCAGGCTCGGTGGCTCAACCCTTAATCCCAGCACTTTGGGAGGTCAGCGCAAGTGAATTGCCTGAGCCCACAGGTTCGACACCAGCCCTTGTCTCTACAATAAATCAAAATTTAGCCAGATGTGGTAACTCGTGCCTATAGTTCTGGCTACCTGGAAGGCTGAGGTGGAAGGATCATGGACCCCAGCAGGCTGACACTGGGGTGGCCATGAGTATGCTACTGCACTCCAGCCTGGGTGACAGAGTGAGATTCCAACTCAAAAAAAAAAAACAAAGTTGGTCAGAGGCTGGGCACAGTGGCTCACACCTATAATCCCAGCACTTTGGGAGGCCGAGGTGAGAAGATTGTCTGAGCCCATGGGTTCAAGACCATCCTGTGCAACTTGGCAAGACCTCATCTCTACATCGAATCAAAAAATTAGTTGGGTGTGGTGCCATGCACCTGTAGTTCCAGCTACTTGGAAGGCTGAAGCAGAAGGATCATCTCACCTGAGCCCAGCAGGTCGAGGCTGCAATGGCCATGAGCATGCTACTGCATTCCAGCCTGGAGAACAGAGTGAGACTCCAACTCAAAAATAAATAAATAAATAGCTGGTCAGGGTTTTTTTTGTTTGTTTTAGTAGAAATCTCACTCTGTCACCTAGGTTGGAGTGCAGTGACACACTCACTGCCACCGCAGCCTCGACCTGCTAGCCTCAGGTAATTCTTCCACCTCAGCCTTCCAAGTAGCTGGAACTACAGGTGCATGCCATCACGCCTGGCTAGTTTTTGGATTTATTGTAGAGACGAGGTCTTGCCAAGTTGCCCAGGCTGGTCTCAAACTCCTGGGCTTAGGCAATCCTCTCGCCTCTGCCTCCCAAAGTGCTGGAATTATAAACATGAGCCACCCTGCCCAGCTAATGGTCAGTTATAAAAGGTAGTTGAGGCTGAGTGTGATAGCTCACACCTTTAATCTCAGCATTTTGGGAGGCCAAGGTGGGGAGGATAACTTGAGGCCAGGAGTTCAAGACTAGCCTGGACAAGACCTCATCTCTACAAGAAAAATATAAATAAATTTTTTTCTATAAAATAAATTTTAAAAATAAAAGGTAGTTGAAGCAGAAAATGATAAAAATGAGATATTCTTCCAGTATAAAGAAGGACCCCCAAACCCAGAATTATCTTTGGAGAGGCAGGTCCCTTGTAGTACAGGCTTCCCCCACTAAGTAAGTGTCCTAGGAACCCATCAGCATCAATGTACCAGCTAGTGTTCTTGAGAGAGGCAGCTTTCAGCTTCAGTGAATTTTTTGGGGGGAGATTCTTTAAACACATTTGCCCATTTCATGATGGGTAATGTGCATACCTGCCCACACCACACTTCAGCAGTTTTTGACCAAAAGCAGCATGATCCCTGTGCCCTCCCTCCCTACTCACCCAACCTCGCCCCTGAGTTACTGTTTTGTTTCCCTGAATGAAAAAAATCCTCAAAAGGAAACATTTTGCCAATGTAGAAAAAGTGAAGCAACAAACAGCAGAAGCACTAAAAGACATCCAAATTGATAAGTTCAAAAGCTGTTTTGAGCAATGGAAGAAGTATCTTGAAAAGTATATTGTATCAAAGAGAGAGTACTTTTTTTTTTTTTTTTTTTGAGTTGGAGTCTCACTCTGTCGCCCAGACTGGAGCACAGTGGCCACTCCTGGCCATGGCAGCCTCGCCTGCTGGGCTCCGGCGATCCTTCCGCCTCAGCCTTCCGAGTAGCCGGAATTACAGGCGCGCGCTCCCACGCCCGGCTGATTTTTTAATTTATTGTAGAGATGAGGTCTCACCTGCCCAGGCGGGTCTCGAACCCGCGGGCTCAGGCAATCCACTCACCTCAGCCTCCCAAAGGCGCGGGATTACAGGCTAAGCCACCGAGCCCGGCAGAGAGAGCACTTTGAAGGTGACTGGAGCTTAAACATGTAAGAATAAATACACAATTTTTAGCAAATAAGTTCCAAGTTTTTGGGGGCCCCCCCTTATATTAAATTTTAATGCAAAACATGTAAAAGTGTGTTCATTTGAGTAGAGAAGTGTGATTATGAGTATACTGGTTTGAGTTCGAGTCAACTTACTTTTTTTTTTTTGAGTTGAAGTCTCACTGTTGCCCAGGCTGGAGTGCAGTGGCAGGCTCACAGGCCACCGCAAACTCGACCTGCTGGGTTCAGGCGATCCTTCAGCCTCAGCCTTCCAAGTAACTGGAACTGCAGCCATGTGCCCCACCATGCCTGGCTGATTTTTTATTCATTATAGAGATGAGATCTTGCCAAGTTGCCCAGGCTGGTCTCGAACCCCTGGTCTCGGGCAATCCTCTCACCTTGGCCTCCCAAAGTGCTGGGATTATAAGCATGAGCCACTGCACCCAGCCTCAGCTTACTTTTTAAAACTATGTTCAAATGCATTGTCTTTGACTTCTGGGATTTTTTTGTTTGTTTGATTGTTTGTTTATTTTTCGACTTTTCATACCTACCCAGTAGGAATTGGTTTCTGGTTTTATTTTGGAAAGTGACTTTTATAGGTAACCCTTACTTTTGGGATTAACTTGCCCATAGCAATCAAGAGTTTTTTTTAGGAGCTCACCCCTTTTTTTTTTTTTTGAGTTGGAGTCTCACTGTCGCCCAGACTGGAGTGCAGTGGCACGTTCTCCCGTCCACCGCAGCCTCGACCTACTGGGCACCAGCAATCCTTCCGCCTCAGCCTTCCAAGTAGCTAGAACTACAGGCGCGCGCTACCATGCCCAGCTAATTTTTTATTTATTGTAGATGAGGTCTCGCCAAGTTGCCCAGGCGGGTCTCGAACCTGCGGGTTCAGGCAGTCCACTCACCTCAGCCTTCCAAAGTGCAGGATTACAGACTGAGCCACCGAGCCCAGGAGGAGCTCACCCTTAATGTGTCTTATAATTCCTACTGCCTTTTTTGCATTTGTTTTTGTTGTTGTTGTTTTGTTTTGTTTTTGGAATCGGAGTTTCACTCTATCACCCAGGCTGGAGTGCAGTGGCACACTCACAGCCACATAGCCTCCATCTGCTACGCTCAGATGATCCTTCCAAAAGCTGGAACCACAGGCGTGTACCACCATGCCTGCCTAATTTTTTTTATTTATTGTAGAGATGAGGTCTCACCAAGTTGCCTGGGCTACTCTCAAACTGCTGAACTCGGGCAGTCCTCTCACCTCCACCTCCCAAAGTGCTGGGATTACAGGCATGAGCCACCACACTCAGCGCATTTGTATTTTATCAATTGATTTAGATTATAATCAGATTATATGACCACAAAAACAAGAACAACTGTCATAAGCAGTAGAGAAACAGGTACAGCTGCCTCTTGGCAAACATGGTGATGTGGCTGAGAGCACAGGTCTAAGGAGGTGACTTGCAGCTTCCAGTGTTCAGGGTGTTGTGGGCCTTACCTAGATGTTGTGCCTGGGTGCACGGTGAATACCTACCATTTAGAGAGCTGCTACTGTGTTCATAATAAAATATCTTATCGTCAGGCTGTGTTATAAAGCTAAAAGATTAAAAAACTAGAGCACATGTTTAGGTTTTTGATAGCACTTAGAAGGGAACATGTTGCAGCTTAAAAATCAGTATCAACCGGTCACAGTGGTTCAAGCCTTTAATCCCAACACTTTGGGAGGCCAGGGTGAGAGGATTGCCTGAGCCCATGGGTTTGAGACCAGCCTGGGCACCGTGGTGAGACCTCATCTCTACAATAAATCAAAAAACTAGCCGGGGGTGGTAGCGCACGCCTATAGTTTGGCTACTTGGGAGGCTGAGGTGGAAGGATTGCCAGAGCCCATCAGGTCGACACTGTGAAATGGCCATGAACGTGCCTGCACAGCAGCCTGGGTGACGGAGTGGGACTCCAACTCAAAAAAAAAAATCAGTATCTACCGGTGTCTATTTAAACTATATCTTACCTCTCTTCTTTCAGTCTCTGCCATAGTGGAAAGATATATGTTTTCTTAATGACTACCTTTATATTTATGAGATCTTAATGATCTACCAGATTCTAGACCTAAAATGGAAAGAGAAAGGTAATGGATTATGTCAAATGTAGTAAAAGTAATCTCACTGAATATTTTTCTTTGTATTTTTGTAGGCGATCGATAGCATTCATCAAGTGGGCGTTTATTGTCTTGCTTTGGTGCCTGCCAATACATTGCCAAAAACTCCACTAGGAGGAATCCATATATCCCAGACAAAGCAGCTCTTTCTGGAGGGATCTCTACATCCTTGCAATATCCTCATGTGCCCACATACATGTGTGACGAATTTGCCAAAACCCCGGCAAAAGCAACCAGGTAATATGCTGGCTTCTAGAACATAGCATTGAAATTGTAACTCCAAGAAGCTGAGTTTTCTCAGAGTGTTTGTTTCTCTAGAATTAGACTTTACAAAGGCTAGTAACCACAAGAAAACCCTCAGTTGACCAAAAACAAGGAGAATTGAGATCTTGCTGAATAAGCTTCTTTCTTGGGAGTAATTACCATAGTATACCTTCCTTATCCCTGAGAGTAAGGTGTAAGTCAGGATGATAGAATCCTGCTTGTAAGAACTAGAATAAAATAAGTCATGGAAGGAAAGTTTCTGAAAACAAGAATAGCCTACTAAATGCCAAATACTAGGTGAGCACTTACATGTGTAATATTAAAACTTTGCCCCAGTTGTGGAAGATAAAGTTCAATAAAGTTGCCACGTGTGGTGGCTCACACCTGTAATCCCAGCACCTTGGGAGGTGGAGACAAGAGGATTGCCTGAACCCAGGGGTTCAAGGCCAGCCTGGACAACTTGGGGAGACCTCATCTCTACAATAAAGAAAAATTAGCCAGGCGTGGTGGTACATGCCTGTAGTTCCAGCTACTTGGAAGGCTGAGGCGGAAAAAGCACCTGAACCCAGCAGATTGAGGCTGCAGTGGTCGTGAGTGTGCTCTGCACTCCAGCCTGGGCGACACAGTGAGACTCTCAGTCAAAAAAAGCAAACAAGGCCGGGCTCAGCCTGTAATCCCGCACTTCAGGAGGCTGAGGTGAATGGATTGCCTGAGCCCGCAGGTTTGAGACCCACCTGGGCAACTTGGCGAGACCTCATCTCTACAATAAATCCAAAAAAAATTAGCTGGGCGTGGTAGCGCACACCTGTAATTCCGACTACTTGGAAGACTGAGGTGGAAGGATCGCCAGAGCCCAGCAAGTCGAGGCTGCGGTGGCCGGGAGCGGCCACTGCACTCCAATCTGGGTGACAGAGTGAGACTCCAACTCAAAAAAAGAAAAAAAAAAAGCAAACAAAAAAAATTCAGAAAAGTTAATATCAGGCCCACAGTTGTATAGTTGGTGAGCAGCAGAGTTGAGATTCACACTAATCATGACTGAAACCCACATTCTGAACCCTAGGCTATCCTGCCTTTCTACTGGGAATCTCATCTTTTGCCTAGGGTCATCCTCATTCCTTTTTAACTTTAGGGTTCTGATTTGGGCCTGTAACACCTCTGAGGAGCATATCTTTTGAGTTCAAGGGCACCAAAGAGTTAGGGAATCACCATATGTTAAAAAAAAAAGGTTAATGTCTCCTTTTTGCCTAATTTCTGAATAAACCTAGATTATAGGGCTGCATGCATAGGAATTAAAGGCAAGAGTAATTGATCAGAATAATGTTAAAAGATCTGTTAAATCCAATGTAGAATCATTACATTTTGTTAATAATTTTTCATTTTACGAGAGGCTTCTAGTTTCCTGTAAGCCTAAAAACACACAAAAGCCAAAAATCTAGCTGCTATGGATTTCAACACACACACACACACACACACACGCACGCACTCACATCAGTCTCCAAATGTGTTAGGAAGAGAAAATAAAAGTAGGAAGGGGAGGTGTGGCATTTAATTTTATTTCTGTAAGGCAGCTTTTGCTGAAACATTAGCATGATGTACAATAATAAAATATAAGATAAGCCTCTGACTTGCTAGGATATTTTAATCAGGATATTAAGATGTTAATATACTCTGCAGTAATTTCTTCAGTGATCTGGTGACTGAAGATCATATCAAACTTATTTATCTAGATGTTATCAACTCATCAATTACCCTATCTCTTTAACAGATTATATAGAGTTTAAGTATATGTGATATTTATCAGTTTTTCCTGTTGGAAATAAAAGTATATGGAGGCTCATACTCCAAGGGACAGTCAAAATCAAGACATTTTAGCCGGGCTCGGTGGCTCAGCCTGTAATCCCAGCACTTTGGGAGGCCAAGGTGAGTGGATTGCCTGAGCCTGTGGGTTCGAGACCCGCCTGGGGAACTTGGTGAGATCTCATCTCTACAATAAATCAAAAATTGGCCGGTTGTGGTAGCGCGCACCTGTATTTCCAGCTACTTGGAAGGCTGAGGCGGAAGGATCGCCGGAGCAGCAAGTCGAGGCTGTAGTCTGAGTGACAGAGTGAGACTCCAACTCAAAAAAAAAAATCAAGACATTTTGTATTACTAATCAAGCCATGTATAAAAAGAAGTCTCTTCCAGTACATTACCTGCCTAAACATATGACAGATACATAGAAAACACAGACTCTTCTCTATTTCAAATCCTGTTACACTGAAATTCTACCTTCATTTGTCATGAGTAAAATCCAACTTAGATAGCATTTAATCTAAGATTCTTTTATCTAAACATTCATGTTATAGTAGATACTTAGGAGATACTACTTAGAAACATATAGATATTTTTGCTAACCAGATGTTAACCAATTTTATAAAATGCTAACCTATAAAAGATTTATTCCTGACCAGGCGCCATGGCTCACGCCTGTAATCCCAGCACTTAGAGAGGCTGAGGCAAGAAGATTGCCTGAGCCCATGGGTTCAAGACCAACCTGGGCAACTTGGCAATACATTGTCTCTACAGTAAATCAAAAAATTAGCCAAGCATGGTGGCACGTGCCTGTAATTCCAGCTACTTGGAAGGCTGAGGCGGCAAGATCACCTGAACCTCACGGTTGAGATGGCGGTGACTGTGAGCGTGCCACTGCGCTCCAGCCTGGATGACAGAGTGAGACTCCAACTCAAAAAAGAAAAAAGATTTATTCATAAGCTCCCAAAGACATGGCATCCATTTCATTCTTTGTGATGAAAGCATTATGTTTGAATTCACTGCTTTTGCTGTTTGTGGTGATTCCCTGGTACTGTCTTAGTCAGATGCATCTGAGCAGGACCAAAGCCATTTGAAAGTCATGGCATAAAGGATGGAGGTGATGAAGGAATTAAATGAGAAGAATACAGGGGAGTGGTGAGGTAAGGAGTAAGGGGAGAAAGGAAATGTGAGGAAAGGGAAGATTGAGAAGTCTGCCCGGAGGCCAAGCTGTTCTTGAGAGGCCCATTGTAGAAAGCACGAGAATGGTGGTCCGGGCTGGTCTTGGCTGCAAGTTGTAGAAAAGCTTTATAGCAACTGACACAAGAAACAGGTTTATTTTTTTTCCCTCAGGTAAAAGAAATTCACAGCTAGGCAACCCAGAGCTATAACGGTCACTCTCAGTCATGCTCTCTCCTCTAGCTTTCCAGCTTTTTTGTTGTAGTGCTTTATTGGTCAACTATTGTTGCAGATAGGCTACAAAAACAAATAAGCCTGAAGCTCAGTGCCTTGAAATAATAGGCATTTATTTTTTTTTCATGGAATGTGGGTCTGCTGTGTCTCTGCTTGGCTTGGCTAGGATCTGCTGGACCAACTTGGCTCCAGGCTGTAGGTTAGGTTCAGAACTGTCCATGTGTCTCCTCATCACGGGACTGGCAGTTACCTGGGCCGTGTTTTTCCCAAGGCAGATGGCAAGAGCAAGAAAGCAAGCCAGACTACATGAGCATATTTAAAGCTTCAGTTTGTGTCATGTCTCCTAATATTTTATTGTCCAAGACAAGTCAGACCATGCCCGAAATCAGTGGAGCAGAGATGTCTACTCCCATGCAGCCACTGCTAGGACAGGAAGGAAAGGAAGGTTTGTGAGAAAATAAAATAATCTACCACAGCCATCCTCAGCATACTGCCTCAGGGTCCATTAGGCACCCTGGCTGCAGTCATCATTTCTGCATCCCAGCTAGCAGGTAGGAGGAAAAAGTAAAGAAGGGATCCCCTTTCTCTTAGCATATTTTCCAGAAATTACACATATTACTTCCTCTTACGTGTTATTCTCCCACACTAAAGAATATAGTCTTTTTTTTTTTTGAGTTGGAGTCTCACTCTGTCGCCCAGACTGGAGTGCAGTGGCCGCTCCCGGCCACCGCAGCCTCGAATTGCTGGGCTCTGGCCATCCTTCCGCCTCAGCCTTCCAAGTAGCTGGAACTCCAGGTACGCGCTACCATGCCCGGCTAATTTTTGATTTATTGTAGAGATGAGGTCTCGCCAAGTTGCCCAGGTGGGTCTCGAACCTGCGGGCTCAGGCAGTCCACTCACCTCAGCCTCCCAAGGCGTGGGATTACAGGCTGAGCCACCGAGCCCAGCTAAGAATATAGTCTTTATTCCAGGCACGGGTCCAGCTAAAAACTTGAAGTTCTATTAAGGAAAAAGAGGATTATAGGTATTGTGATTAATAACTAACAGCTTTTGCCACAGGAAATATACAGAATTTTGTGAGAGTAATCAAAGGCATATTTATAGGTACAGCAGTGCCTGTGGTTGACGTCCTGGAGTTACTGCCTTCAGCGTTTTCACGCTGACTTATAGACTCACAAAATGCACACAGAAGAACCTTAAGAAATTGCTGCTGAATTTCATTGTTTTTAGAACTACTCTGCAAAATTAACTTTTTTAAATGTCATACTCCTATTAATTTTGCAATATAAATACAAGATTGAACAGTTTACTCAGTCAAATACACACTGAGTCCTTGCCTGTGTAAAAGGCCGTCTCCAATATGATGTCTCTGTAGTTTATGATGTGGTTTCTTCCGAAAAAATGTTGCATATTGTGCTTAAAATTGCAGTAGACACTTGGTGGATGTTCAACTGTCGGAAGGGTTGGCATTCTTTGTCTTGTTTGAGTTCTTTATTTGATTTTTTTTCGGGAGGGTTGGAGTCTCACTCTGTAGCCCAGGATGGAGTGCGGTGGGTGGCACGCTCCCAGCCACCGCGGCCTCGACTTGCTGGGCTCAGGAGATCCTTCAACCTCAGCCTTCCAGGTAGCTGGAACTATAGGTGTGCACCACCACACCCAGCTAATTTTTTGATTTATGGTAGAGATGAGGTCTCACCACATTGCCCAGGCTGGTCTCAAACCCATGGGCTTAGGCAGTCCTCTCAGCTCGGCCTCCCAAAATGCTGGGATTATAGATGTGTGTCACCACACCTGGCCCTTTATTTGATTTTTAAATTCTTTAAACTTCTCTTTTTGAAGTAACTTACAAAAAAGTTGCCAAATTGCACAAAGGGTTTCTATAGCCTTTACCCAGTAACCTCAGATACATACTCTTTTTTTTTTTTTTTTTTTGAGTTGAAGTCTCACTCTGTCGCCCAGACTGGAGTGCAGCGGCCGCTCCCAGCCACCGCAGCCTTGACCTGCTGGGCTCCGGCGATCCTTCCGCCTCAGCCTTCCAAGTAACTGGAACTACAGGCGTGCACTACCACGCCCAGCTGATTTTTTTATTTATTGTAGAGATGAGGTCTTGCTGCCCAGGCGGGTCTTGAACCCGCGGGCTCAGGCAATCCATTTACCTCAGCCTCCCACAGATACATACTCTTAAAAGTGATTACATGATTCAAGTGATTCATTTCATCCATTTCAGGATATTCAGGATCACCGGATTCTGGCAATAAAAAAATATTAAATATTAATCCAGTGTAGCCTCAGTGCTATTCAAACCCAGCTGGCACATGTTGTGTCTTTTCACCATCTTCTTAGTTTCATAAGGTGGGCTCTTACTCTTTAAGTTGCTTTCAGGAAAGGCATAGAGCACACAGAATGTTTGGTTTGAGAGGGAAGCTGCCCTATATTTGTTTGCAGTGTCATCCCTACGGAGAAGCTGGAATAAGGTACAGGGGGCCAGCCCCTGCAGAGAGATTTAGAGGGTCCCTGGAAGGTGGTGCAGCGTCGGCAATTATTCTGGAGAAATAAAGAGAAAGAAAGAGAAAAGGGGAGAAAGAAAGAGAAAAGGGGAGAAAGAAAGAGACTGGACTCTGTCTAGTGCAGAAGCCAATTCTGTAGTAGGGATAGATATTGAAAGAAAGATGGAGGGATAGATATAAAGAGAAAGAAAGAAAGTGGACAACTGTTCAGTGAAATGAGCAGAAGCCATTTAATGGGACCAACCGTAAGTCTTTTATCCCAAATTTTCACATGTTAAATCACAAGACTTTCACGTGAACACAAGGCCAGGTGGATGAGGCGCATCCCCCTCACCCACCAGGTGTTTCCTTAAGCATGAGGAAGGACAATCCCAATAAAATCACAAGACTTTTATGTGAACACAAAGCCAGGTAGATGAGGGGTGTCCCCCACCCACCAGTTGTTTTCCCAAGCATGAGGAAGGACAATCCCAAAATTATCTCACTGTTCCTTATGCTTGGTTTATGTTCCTCAAAAGCAATACAATTCTAACATCATAAGATCCTAATAATCAATAACTTCTAAAATTTATGCATACCCAACACCTAATGACTGACTTAAATCCTAATGCCTTTCTATTCTGTGCTAATTTTACCTGTACTATAAAAAACTCTTAATTATAGCTCAAACCAGTTCCTGAAGAATGTGACCCAGTCCAAAGGTCACGCTGGGCCATTTCCAGGAACAATTGATTATGATCTCTTAACAAAATGGCTATTCTAAAATCCTATGTATCTATCTTAATTTCTATAAAAGTTTCCAATTCCTAATCCTAATATATAAGGCTGATCATCAGCAATAAAACTTCGAAAATAAAACCCAAATACAAACTGTAATTGTACTAAAGCCAAAACCGCAATTAGTAGAAAGTGGGAACAATGACATTTATAAAGTTAGCTGTTGTGAGTGGATTGCCTGAGCCTGCGGGTTCGAGACCCGTCTGGGCAGCGAGACCTCATCTCTACATAAATCAAGAAATTAGCCGGGCGTGGCAGCACATGCCTGTAATTCCGGCTACTTGGAAGGCTGAGGCGGAAGGATTGCCGGAGCCCAGCAGGTCGAGGCTGCGGTGGCCGGGAGCGGCCACTGCACTCCAGTCTGGGCGACAGAGTGAGACTCCAACTCAAAAAAATAAAAAATAAAGTTAGCTGTTTTCTATAAAACCTCAAAGTATCATGTTTGATCATGCTTGAACTAACATAATTCCCTGGCGTAGCATGACTTATTCTACAATACTTTCTATGAATAAAATAAATTCCGTTTCTATTATAAGTAGAAAAAAACCTACACTAATTGTAACTAAAGAACCAGTTTAGCCAGGCTTGGTGGCTCAGCCTGTAATCCCAGCACTTTGGGAGGCTGAGGTGAGTGGATTGCCTGAGCCCGCGGGTTCAAGACCCACCTGGGCAACTTGGCAAGACCTCATCTCTACAATAAATCAAAAATTATCCGGGCATGGTAGCGTGCACCTGTAGTTCCAGCTACTTGGAAGGCCGAGGCGGAAGGATCGCCGGAGCCCAACAGGTCGAGGCTGCAGTGGCCGGGAGCGGCCACTGCACTCCAGTCTGGGGACAGAGTGAGACTCCAACTCAAAAAAAAGAACCACTTTAAAAGAATGCAGCCCAGCCCAAAGTGGACGCTGGGCCCTTAGGAATGTGGCCCAGTCCAGAGTTCATGCTGGGCCATTTCTGGTAACTCTAGATAATCATCTATACCATCTAAAGCTGGAAACAACTCTCTAAATGTATATACTAATTCTACAAATATACTTTTAAATCTTATAAAGAAACTTGTATCATATATAAGGCTCCCAAATGTGACCGAGTTTGAACTGTGTTAAGTTTAAAGCCGAAACCGCAGTCTGTGAGAAACGGGAACAGTGGATCCCTAGAGTCAGCCGTGCCTGTCATATTCTCAGAACTTCATGCTTAGATCATCAAAGTCCCTGCTAATGGGTCATGCCAAACAACAAAGAATGGAGGAGGGAAATGGGCCTTCAGCTCCTGAACCCAACCTGGTGGTCTCAGGGTCCGCAGCCCACCTGGATCCCTAACGCTCAGGCTCAGGCTGGCCTCCACGGCAGGCTCCCAACAATAAGGGCAAAGTGGGCGACACCCACGTGACCTCCCCTAGATTCACCAAGGGCTGGTATTTTTCACCAAACTCTTTTAAAGCAAATTGCAGACATCATGACACTTCACTCTAAATAGACAGATATATATAAATGAATACACACGCTCACATGAGACAGGATATTTCTCTGTCACCCAGGCCAGAATGCAATGGCACAGTCATAACTCACAGACGCCTTGGACTCCTGGGTTCAAGTGATCCTCCTGTGGTCAGCCTCCCGAGTAGCTGGGTTACAGGCATGAGCCATCACGCCTCACTCAGATGTCTTATCTCTACAGAACAAAAACATACTCTTAAAATTTTCCTAATCAATCACTTAATAGGATGCCATTATCCTATTAAGAAATTAACTTATAGCCGGGCTCGGTGGCTCAGCCTGTAATCCTGTGCCTTTGGGAGGCTGAGGTGAGTGGATTGCCGGAGCTCGCGGGTTCGAGACCCGCCTGGGCAACTTGGCGAGACCTCATCTCTACAATAAATCAAAAAATCAGCCGGGCGTGGTAGCGCATGCCTGTAATTCCGGCTACTTGGAAGGCTGAGGCGGAAGGATCGCCGGAGCCCAGCAGGCGAGGCTGCAGTGGCCGAGAGCGACCACTGCACTCCAGTCTGGGCGACAGAGTGAGACTCCAACTCAAAAAAAAAAAAAAAAGAATTATAGCTAAGTGGCACATGGTGGCATAGTTCCAGCCATTTGGGAGACTGAAACAGGAGGATCCCTTAAACTTAGGAGTTTGAGATCAGCCTGAGCAACATAGCAAGACCAATTTTTAAAGAAACAAAAACAAAATAATTATATAATGCTGTCATCTAATAATCAACAGTCCATATTCAGATTTCTTCACTTGTTTGTTATAGCTGGTTTTTAAAAAATCCAGTATCCAGTCAAAGTCATGCATTCCATTTGACCGACATGTCCTTTAATCTGAAACTCTCAGCCTTATTTTGCCTTTTTTTTTTTTTTTTTTTTTTTTTTGAGACAGAGTCTCACTCTGTTGCCCAGGCTGGAGCGCAGTGGCATGCTCATGGCCACCTCAGTCTTCCAAGTAGCTAGGTCTACAGATGTGCACCACCATGCCTGGCTAATTTTTTTATTTATTGTAGAGATAAGGTCTTGCCAAGTTGCCCAGGCTGGTCTCGAACCCATGGACTCAGGCAATCGTCTCACCTCAGCCTCCCAAAGTGTTGGGATTATAGACGTGAGCCAACATGCCCAGCCCCCAGATGTTTTTTAAAAGCCCAGGCCAGGAATGAAATCCACTATCTGGATTTCATTATTCACTTTTAATAGAGCACTTCTGATATTTCTGATAAACTCACTCTCAGTCCTCGTAGATGACAAGTTTCTTTCTAGACCAGATAAGTCATTGCAAAAGATATTCATTAACAGACCTCTCCTTTGGGGTTGTATCATAATTGGTACAGATGAAATTATTTATCAGGAGGAACTGGTGCAATCAGCTGTTACTACCTCAAAGTGAAAGCTTCCTGTATACCCAGGTGAAGGTAGCCACCCTCTCTCTTCCACCCCAACCCCTGCCTCCCCTGTGTTCCTTTTTTGTTTTGTTCTAGCACGTCCCACTCCCTGCGTTTTGCTTATCTGTATGTGTACTTCTTGGTTTTCTTTCACCAGTAGGATACGCACTCTTGCCCTTTTTGCCCAGTGCCAAGAAGAGTGCTCCATCAGTGTTATTGAGTGAATGTTTCAGCCAGTTTTCGTCAGTTTGGAAATGCTTTGTGGGTATACCTGGCCTGAATTGCCATCTCCAGGGAGTCAGGTTTCTGTCTTTGTTTACAGGTGTAGGCCCTGCCTCCGTGATGGTTGGGAATCTGGTTGCCGGAAAACGCATCGCCCAAGCTGCTGGAAGGGATCTGGGGCAAATCGAAGAGAATGATTTGGTGAGGAAGGTACGTTTTCCAGAAGGGTTGGCTTCTTGCAAAAAGTCAAGGACGATACCGGGCTCGGTGGCTCAGCCTGTAATCCGCGCCTTTGGGAGGCTGAGGTGAGTGGATTGCCTGAGCCCGTGGGTTCGAGACCCGCCTGGGCAACAACTTGACGAGACCTCATCTCTACAATAAATCAAAAATCAACCGGGCGTGGTAGCGCGCACCTGTAATTCCAGCTACTTGGAAGGCTGAGGCGGAAGGATCGCCCGGAGCCCAGCAGGTCGAGGCTGCGGTGGCCCGGCAGTGGGCCACTGCACTCCAGTCTGGGCTACAGAGTGAGACTCCAACTCAAAAAAACAAAAAGTCAAGGATGAAACTTACGCTTCAGATGGGGGTACATTGTACAACTTGTTAAAAGTTGCTGACCTGAATCTTTATTCTGTTTTCTGACTTCAGCACCAGTTCCTGGCAGAGATTTTACAGTGGCGAGCCCAGGCAACACCTGACCATGTACTCTTCATGCTGTTAAATGCCAAGGTATTAAAAACTCAATTGTATCGCTAATCAGCTGAGTACTGTGGGAGTGTCTTAGGCACCCTTTATCTCACTCTTTCATCAGAAACTTCTCTTGCTACCTCTGAGGAAAGAGTTATCGCTTTCTCCTTGTCTTGACATATGAGGATAAACCGTGCCATCACTTTAAGGTTGAAATGAGACCTCCTGGAATTTATTAATTTATTACTTATACTGTCTTTTCAAGTCTTCGTACTCAGTTCTGATAGAAGCAGTGGGACCAACAGAGCAATTATATAGATGTAAGATGTGTAGAACATCATGGTTTTTTACTTAGTTGGACTTTCAGTTTTTTTATTTCTGACAGGAAGAAAATGATTTTAGAGCAATGTTTTTAAAACCAAAGTTGTCCGGGCGCAGTGGCTCAAGCCCGTAATCCCAGCACTTTGGGAGACCGAGGCAAGAGGATTGCCTGCGTTCAGGGGTTGAAGACCAGCCTGGGCAACTTGGCAAAACCTTGTCTCTACAATAAATCACAAAATGAGCCGAGAGTGGTAGCATGTACCTGTAGTTCCTGCTACTTGGAAGGCTGAGGCGGAAGGATTGCCGGAGCCTCAGCATGAGCATGCCACTGCATTCCAACCTGGGCAACAGAGTGAGGCTCCATATCAAATACCCATAAAACCAAAGTTATTTTTGGTACATACATGAATGACTTATTGCTAACAGGTAAAAAAGCAAATTGAGCTGGGCTCAGTGACTCAGCCTGTAATCCCGTGCTTTGGGAGGCCAAGGTGAGTGAATTGCCTGAGCCCACAGGTTCAAGACCCACCTGGGCAACTTGGTGAGACTTCATCTCTACAAAAAATCAAAAAAATTAACCGGGCGTGGTAGCGCGCGCCTGTAGTTCCAGCTACTTGGAAGGCTGAGACAGAAGGATCGCCAGAGCCCAGCAGGTCGAGGCTGCGGTGGCCGGGAGCAGCTACTACACTCCAGTCTGAGCTACTGAGTGAGACTCCAACTCAAAAACAAACAAACAAATTGAAAATCACGCAAGAGTACATTTAACTCCCGGTTTCTAATGGATGGCTCACCATAATATTGCCTTTCAAGTTCTGCATCCTGTGGGAATCTACTGAGTTTGTTTGTTTTAATGCCCGAGACACAGGCTCCAAGTACTGTGACTGTGTAAATAGAGTATTTCTCACCAGCAGGAGGAACACTGGAAAGGCCTATTGAATCTCATAGGAGACTTATCCCAGTTGCCCCTATCTGTCCCTGTCCTTCTAGAATCCGATTGTTTTCGGAAAATTTATGCAATAACAGAAATTGATGAGAGGAGTATGCTCTGCATCTTAGTAAAAAACCGTTAACTACCTTAAGAACCACTGCTTTTATGATGGAAGACTGGGACTTCCTCACTCCCCTTCAAGCTGTGGATTCATTAAGGCCCTTACATTTCTTATTTTTTTTTTTTGAGTTGGAGTCTCACTCCATCGCCTAGGCTGGAGTGCAGTGGCACACTCACCGCTACCCCAGCATCGACCTGTTGGGCTCAGGCGATCTGTCTGCCTTAGCCTTCCAAGTAGCTTCCAATTAGCCCAGCTAATTTTTTTTTAATTGTAGAGACGGGATCGGTGGCTCAGCCTGTAATCCCGCACCTTTGGGAGACTGAGGTGAGTGGACTGCCTGAGCCCGCGGGTTCGAGACCCGCCTGGGCAACTTTGCGAGACCTCATCTCTACATAAACCAAAAATTAGCCGGGCGTGGTAGCACACGCCTGTAGTTCCAGCTACCTGGAGGGCTGAGGTCGAAGGATCGCCGAAGCCCAGCAGGTCGAGGCTGCGGTGGCCGGGAGCGGCCGCTGCACTCCAGTGTGGGCAACAGAGTGAGACTCCAACTCAAAAAAAAAAAAATTGTAGAGACGGTTTCTCGACAAGTTGCCCAGGCCGGTCTTGAACCCACGGGTTTAGGCAGTCCTCTCACCTCAGCCTCCCAAAGTTCTGGGATTACAGGCTGAGCCACAAAGCCCGGCCTAACTTTTTTATTTATTATAGAGACAGGGTCTCACCATGTTGCCCAGGCTGGTCTCAAACCTGGGCTCAGACAATCCTTTGCCTCAGCTTCCCAAGTGCTGGGATTACAGATTTGAGCCACCGTGCCTGGCTGGCCTTTACTTTTCTTTAAGAAGATGTCAGACCCACTGACTTCCTCTCCTCACTCCCAAACTTGGCGACGGTTACAGTCATGGCATTGTGGAATCTGTACCCCAGATATTTGTTCAAGAGCATATGTTCAAATTTGCTTCTTTGATGACTGCCTAAAGGACATGTAGTCCATTTATTCTTCTGTATATTCCTGTGTTTTGCCTGGAATTGCCCAGGGCCTGAAAACTTAGTAACCATACAACATGGTTCCTCCATGCTTTTTGCTGAACTTTGGTTTTCTGCTGTACCTCTGCTGGAACCATGTCTATTTACTTACCCTTACATTTCCATAATCGTGTAGTCATGGCCTGAGCTCAGGGGTTGTGATAGAGAACAACCATTTGCAATACAATTTGGCCTTGTCCAGTAAAGTTGAAGACTGGCAACCCAGTGGCCCAGCACTTTTATTTCTAGGTCTACACTCTGTCAAAACTCATATATTTTATGGCCAGGCATGATAGCTCATGCTTGTAATCCTAGCACTTTGGAAGGCCACGGCAGGAGATCACTTGAGCCCAGAAGTTTGTGACCAGTCTAGGTAACATAGCAAGATCTTGTCTTTACAAAAAAAAAAAAAAAATCTAAGCCAGGCGTGGTGGCTCACTTTGGGAGGCCGGGGTAAGAGGATTGAGCCCATGGGTTTGAGACCAGCCTGTGCACTTGACACAAGACCTTATATCTATAATAAATCAAAAATTAGCTGGGCATGGTGATATATGCCTGTGTTCCCAGCTACTTGGAAGGCTTAGGTGGAAGGATCACCTGAGTCCAGCAAGTCTAGGCTGCGGTGGCCGTGAGCATGCCACTGCACTCCAGTCTGGGCACAGAGTAAGACTCCAACTCAAAAAAAAAATCTAAAAATTAGCCAGGCATAGTGGTGTGTGCCTATAGTCTCAGCTACTCAGGAGACTGAGGCAGAAGTATTGCCTGAGCTCAGAAGGTCAAGGCTGAAGTGAACCATGATCGTGCCAGTGCACTCCAGCCTGAATGAGAACCCAACCCCATCCAAAAAAAAACCTCATATATTTAAGCACCAGGATACATGTACAAGAATGATAATGTCCATCAGCAGTAGAATGAATGAATAAGCCGGATATGGTAGCTCACACCTGTAATCCCAGTACTTTGGGAGGCAGAACCCAGCGAGTCAAGGCTGCAGTGGCTATGAGCGTGGCACTGCACTCCAGCCTGGATGACAGGGTGAGAGTCCAACTCAAAAACAAATGGATGAATAAATTGTCTCATGTTCATACAGTGAAATATTATGCATGAAGAAATTAATGCTTACACACAGCAACACAGATGACTCTTAAAATGTTGAGCGAAAGAAACAAAAGAGTTTGTACAGTATAATTCCATTATATAAAACTCAAAAATTTCATGGGTGGTAAAAACATAAAGGAAAAAAATCAATGATTAACAGAATGCAGATAGGTTTTGTTGTTGTTGTTTTGAGTTGGAGTTTCACTCTGTCACCCAGGCTGGAGTACAGTGGCACAGTCATGGCCACTGTAGCCTCGATCTGCTAAGCTCAGACACTCTTTCACTTAAAAAATAAAAAATTCAGCCGGGCTCGGTGGCTCAGCCTGTAATCCCGTGCCTTTGGGAGGCCGAGGTGAGTGGATTGCCTGAGCCCACAGGTTCAAGACCTGCCTG